TATATATTTATATATTTTATTAGGTGGAATATCACATTCCATTTTGATTCTTAGCACTTTAAGGTTTTTTGTTTCTTAATGTGACCTTTGTGGACTTTTGTTTTTATTTCATTCCATGCAACAACTTTGATCAAACAAAAATTTTAATTTCCATGACCAGGCTTTGGAAGAGTCTAGCTTTATAGTTCATCATGCATATGATCTTAGGAAAATTTGCTAACTTCTCTGATGTTTTCTTCATCTATATGATGGAATTCATTTCTATCACTGGGACTGTTGTGAGAATTAAATAATGAAGCAAGAAATAAGCATTTGAGTTAGAAGCTCAGTTCCTACTAGATTGTGCCTGTTGAAATTTGCAGTTTCTTTCACCTTCCTGTTTGTAAGCTTTTCTTTCTCTTTGAACTCTTCCTTGGCATCCTTCTTCCTGCCTCCCCCACCCCTTCTATTTTTCCTTTTTCAGCTCAAGACACAGAAGATCAAGCAGGGTAAAATATTTCATGCCATAGCTCTTCTCTTTCAACCAATCAAATGGTTTAACTCTCTCCCATCCTTTCCTTTTTCAGTCAACATGTATTTATTAAGGGCTCAGGGTGTGGAGTACGGTAAAGGGTAGCTGAATATTTAATTCCACCTTGCAATATCTAAGCCTGTTGTTCCAGTTCACAAATGGAAACCCAATCCTACCTGGAACAAGAAGCACCCATTTAGTGTTAATCCCATGTTAATGAATTTGTTAAATTAGTCTTTGTGGGCACAGAGAAGAGAGCATTTTGTTATATGCAAGAGCTTTTATTGTTTATACAGAACACCAAGGGCATTGGTAGGAACAATGCTCTTTCAGTGCCAAAAGAAGTAGTAGCATGTTAGGCCTGTGTTTGCCCTGAGCATGCTTGTGTGAAGTGGGATATCTGGCTCAAATAAGGATCATTTTCAACTCATGTTTTAAAGGTACAGAGGAAATGAAATTCCTTATTCATTTAACTGAATATACTTTTACAGTATTTATTAATAGTAAAATTTATGCCATAATGTCTTGTAGAGACTTTTAAGAATATGAAATATAAATAACCCTCCAAATTAAAAAAGGATCAAACAAATGAAGAGCGTGAGTGAGGCTATTAAAAATGCTGCTAGTGTGAAGACTGGACAGTACCTTCAACAACAACCGACCTACCCAGTTCCCCATGGTTAGGCTGCAACTTTGGCTTTAAGCCTTCTAGGGATCAACTGAAAAAGAAAGGTCATTTTGCAGTCTGCTGCACAATAAAATAAAATAGTTGCTCAAGAGAAGCAAAACTGTTCCTATTGCAAAAATCTGGTAGGAATTTTTCCAAGGAGTCCATGTGTGTGATCTGAGGACACTCTTCAACAGCAGCCTGGAGGAAGAGCAGAAGTGAATTTCATAGAGCTGTTTCCCAAGTACTGTTCATAAAAGAAATAATCCTGTGGTGTGGCCCATGCCCTAATCATGTGATTCATAGAACCCAGTTCTCTCTGTCTGATGTGGTCTCAACACATATTTCAGAGTATCTAGAAAATAGAGTTCATTAGGCAGTTATTCATAAATAAGTGTTATCTGTTTTTCTTACATCAACTTCATCAGATAGTATCTGATAGCTCTGATAGACATGCTTCAGGAACAGTTTTACAGTATTTCTGTTGCAGGTATGTGGCAGCACTTATACTTTAGTAGAAGGCAGAGTGTGAGGCTGGACTGATTCCCTTTGACAGCTGGGAAGTCTGATCAGCTTACTGGCCTCAAAGGGAACCGGGCCTTGCAGGTGAGTTGAAGATGTGCCTTAATAAAAAGTTCAGCCCAGTCCTATAAATTATTTTGAATCTCTTTTAATATCCATACAAATTATAATATAAAACCCCAAACTTCTGTCATACTCTGTTTATGGTCACATAAATTTAGCCTATGTGTATAGTGTATATAACCAGATAGCTACCTGGTGGAAAAGCTCAGAATACTTGTAAAACTTTGTCCAGCTTTGAGTAGAGTGACTTCCTGATTTATCTTTGAAGGTAAACTACTTGCCAAATCTACACCGAGAAGACTAAGTAGAGGAAATGTTAAGACCGTAAGCCATTTAGAAATGCAGAGAGAATCCACAGAAAGTAGTAGGTAATCTGTAGCCTTTCCTTCTCTGGCAGAAATTAGTTAACTGGGGCATTTCTTAGTAGTCATAACAAAGCTATAGAATCCTAAAGTTTGAAAAATAATAATAATGAACTATGTTAAATGTAAGAGAGACAAAATAACATTGGTTTGGCTTTTGGGTTTTGTTTGTTTGTTTGTACTGGGGATTGAACTCAGGACCTGCCTTTGCGAGGCATGTTAATAAGAAACAAGTTAGCAACCAGCGCATGATGGTGCACGCCTATAATTCCAGCACTTGGGAGGCTGAAGTAGGAAGATCACCCAGAGTTTGAGGCCAGCCTAGGCTACATAGTAAGTTCAAGGCCAGCCTGAATTACAGAGCGAGACCCCTTCTTAAGAAAAACCAAAAATAAAAAGTAAAAAAAAAAAAAGTTAACAAGAAGTAGGGCTAAAAATATGGTTATGTCCCACTTGAAAAAAATTTCATTCATCCATCAAGAAACTTTCTACTTTCCTGACTTGCAGAATTGAGTGCCAGTTCTGAGTAAACATTAATCTGTTTGCAAAGAATTAATCAATTGGAGATCGATAGAGAATAGCAATGTTTATGTTATTGTTAGATGTTTTTAAATGCTCTGTGTGGTGCTCGTTGCTATGACTTTTTCTGTTTATAATCTGTCCAGAAGTCCTGTATCTGATGCTAACAGTTACCTTATAGTCGTTTCATTATTGTGGTTGATGGTAGTGAGATTGAAGGCCAAATGTTAGTTGACTAGAGTGGTATGATAGAAATCTGGAAATTTGGCTTCTGTCCTTGGCTTAGTCAGTGATTTTCTAGTATTTGTCATATCTTTTGAACATTCTATATCACATCTCTATATCCCATCTGTTAAGCTGAGTTTGTAATAACTGCCTTGGTCTATCTCACAGGAATGTTGCATGAAAAATTAGATAAAGGTAAAGCCACTATGCATAAAATCAGTGTGAGGTAGCTACTGAAATGCATGCTGCAGTGGCTAGAATGGCTCATCTCAGTGGTTTCAAGACTAGAGAAGGCTTCATAATGGATTCCTCGCAAATGAACCAAGCCCCTTTCATCAGTTCATCACTGTATAGAACTCAGTGAAGAAAAAAGCCCCCTAGGAACATGTTACCTTGATACAAAAGCCAGTGGTGTTTACAGAAGAGGCAAGGAGAGTTGTTACGCAATGGGTATGAAATCTGAGTTGTGTAAGATGAGAAGTGCTGAGATCTGCTGTGTGATGTTGGGCCAGTGGGTGACAGTACTGTCTTGCATACTTTTACAGATCTGCTGAGTGGGTCTCATGTTAAATGTTCTTACCACAATAGAATGGAAAATTTAAAAATCAGTCAACTATTTGAATTAAAGCTTTTCCAAATAGCTTGAGTTTACATGTAGTTTATAGTTTCTGTAGTCATTTTGGAGGATAGACATTTGATGTGTTTAATAAAGTTAAGAAATGAGCATATGACACAGTGTATGGGGAAGAGAAATTTAGTAAAATATTTTCTATTACTATTTTAAGACTCTGACATTGTCAAACCAAGATTTTGCTTTTATTTATTTCCTAGAAATGTCAGACTCTCATCTCTGCTTAAAGCTTATATTGTTGTTTGGGGCTCTTAGACTTTTGTCCCAGTTAACATCCTCATTCTCAACCGTAATGATGCTGTACACAGATTGACACATTGATGCTCAGTAAAACGTACCACCAAGTCCCCTAGACAGAAAGTGGGGGATGACCTTTCTTAACCGTGGAGGGCTCTTACACCTCTCTCCTCTTCTCTTCACATAAATGCAGACTGTATGTGCAGTCCGTGAGAAGGAAAGTTAAGCAAGTACTGTGTTTGATTGGACTTTGCATGAGTCCCATCCAGACTGTAGATACTTTTAATTCTTAAACCAAATTGATGTTTTCATCTGCCAGGGGACCATTTCTAGTGGCACTGGGGAAATCGTGGCACCCAGAAGAATTTAACTGTGCTCACTGCAAAAATACAATGGCCTACATTGGATTTGTAGAGGAAAAGGGGGCACTGTATTGTGAGCTGTGCTATGAGAAATTCTTCGCTCCTGAATGTGGTCGATGCCAAAGGAAGATCCTTGGAGTAAGTATTTGAAATTGCTTTTTCTATTCTTAGTGAGTTTTAAAACAAAATATTTTTTGTTGTGAAACTCTTCCATCTTTTTATTTTCTTCTTGCTTTATCCACACTCTCACCTTTCAGCACTATTTATTATTGTAAAGCAAACTAAATAGGCCTCTGTAGGAGTATATCGGACTCATGGGGTTAGGTTGTCTTTGGTTTTGTCTTACTGAGTGTTGGCTTGTCTGGTGAAAGTCTAGCCACTGCAGGGGAAAAATAATTTACTGTGGGTGTGCTACCTCAACAGGACTCTGTTTGCTCAGGAATGAAGAGGTCACACTGGACCACACACATCAGAGTTCTCAGAACTGACACCTTCACTGTTTTAAATTAAATTCCATAGCTTTTATAAGAGCAGCATTCCCCCACTTATCAGAGTTCAAGCACAGGACACTGACCTCAAAAAAATATATAAAATGTGAGGCTTATAATTGATATATTTTTCTCAAATGCATATAGCATTTAAAAACGTAACTTCAATTTTATGAGTGTATACCTGTGATAGAAAAATAATTTCAAACCACATGGGTTTTTTTGCAAAAAGTACTTTAAGAATCAGATCCATAATAAATAATTATGAATAAATCAAAGTCCTGTCCTCAAAATCTACATTCCAATTAGAGTAAGGGTCAGGCATTTCTTATGGGTGACTAGAGGCTGGAATTTGGTTTTAGAAGGAGCAAAGGCTCCTAACCTCATATAAAAGTTGGAAGTGGCTTTGCTGAGCCCTAACTGATATTCTCAGTGTGCAAAGTTAGTATGAGGTTTTGAGTGTATCTTTAAGTGGGTCTAAAACTTTGAGAACACTTTATAAATATGCCACCAGAGATATTTCTGTATCAATACATACATGTTGGGAACAAAGGAGAACAGTTCATCCTGTACCTTCCTAAATGATGACAAATAATTAGTAAGATATGCATTAATACTATTTTACTGTATAAAATGTGTTTCATGGATTCAAGATTAATTACTAAAGTCAAGTAAAACTGTTAGAAGCAAATAAGCTTTTAATACCCCTGTCTCTTTTTCACAATCAAAAAAATAATCCTTGCAAAACTAATTCCCCCAAACCTCTTTTACTAATTAAACTCTGGCCCAAGTCTTTGATTCTTGGTACATTTGGCTATCGGGCCATAACAGACTAGAATCTATACTTTATGGTTCAAATTTTTGACACTCATTTGTGTAAGGGCATAGTGCAGCCACAGCTGATTTCCAAAAGCCTAAACACAAGCTAAACTGATTGGATCATACTGATTACATTATTGCTTCTATAATGCTTCAAAGAATAGATTTTAGTTTTTAGATGCTTCCCTCCTCCATGATAGTTTTGAGATAATATGTGCTATGAAACTTTTATCAGTTAATGTTTCCTGGCATCCTCTGTAAGAAAGCAAAATGTTTTTGTGCAAGCTCTTAAGAAATACTTCCTTTATTCACCATTATGTATAAGATTTAAATAGCAGTAACCATTCTTTAAATAAGTTTATTGATTTATGTTTGTGAAAAACACTTAACAGTGCAGATTTTGATGATGTATGTCTGTCCTTAAATATCTCCTGTTACTGTGACGAAAAGCTCACGGCAAAGGTGAACCATGTGTGCCTAGTTTGTGTTATCTCTACTGGGTTGTATGGTACAGCTGTTAGAATAAGCATGTGTGTATTTATTGTCATCTTTAAATCCAATTACCTTTTTGTAACAGGAAGTCATCAATGCTTTGAAGCAAACTTGGCATGTTTCCTGTTTTGTGTGTGTGGCCTGTGGAAAACCCATTCGTAATAATGTTTTCCACTTGGAGGATGGTGAACCCTACTGTGAGACTGGTAAGATCATGAGCCATTAGTTATTTGAGTTTTGAATAAAGGCCAAACATTAACCCGTATATTGCTGTAAACTTGAAACAAATGTTAGGCCAAGTAGATTTCCTAATTGTTTTGAAAGTATTTAAATATTACTCTAAATATATGACAAAAAACTTTTTGTTGACTTCATCAAAACAGATATTCTCAATTTCATTGTGAGAATTAAGAACTGTAAGTATTGCTTAGTAGGAAAAACAGTTTGTATAAATATCCAAAAGTTTATGGATGTAAATCCTGCCAAATCATATACTTAAAAGTACCTCTTATGGTCTAATAGTGGATTTTGAGTTGTTACAAACATGAGAAATGTTCAACTCTGGAATATATTACTGGTTTGCTGTTTAACACAACTGCTTTGAAAATCTCTTCTTACTTTTGCTGTGAATGGGAGGGCAGTCCTAGCTTGGATTGCTCCCTTGGTAAAACTTTTTAATAAATTAAATTCTAAGGATATACCAACTCCATTTGTCTTATTACCTGAACTCTGAACATTTCCTTTTCCTTTCTAACATCTGTAAATGAACCTATTATAACACTTATTTATTAATAATTCTTTTACTTAGATATTACTAGCATAATACATATTTTAAAATATGAAATTCTTTCCTCTATCATATCTCCACTTACTACTATTATCTTCCTACTATTGAGTTTTACTTTTACTTTACCTTAAATTCAAAAGTGTGGTGCTAGAAGAAGGGAGTATTCCAGAGCTATCAGGTTCCAGAAGTGGTCGGTTTCTATTCTGAACCTGGGTCCGTGCGACTTGACCTTTCTTCACCCACTCAGTAGACTCTTCTTTTCACCTTCCCTGGGCTCCTTAAATGAGAATAGCTTGGATATACTCTGGCTTGTCCACTAGAAAGCCCCAGAAATGGCAGTAAAATACTCCTTGGGCCATGTTGCTATAGACTTGACTACAAGTTGCCTGCCCTATTCAACCAGAATATTTCACATTTTATAATTCCACTTAATCTTTCTGAAAAAGGACATGTTTTTCATGATGGTGGTTGTTTGGTTAGATGGTTGGTTTGCTTGTTTTAGAAGCTTTTCAGGACATTTTGACTAACTGGCAAATAATCCCTCTCTAGCCAAAACATGGAAAGTTATCTAGCCTTCATATCATATTTAATGTGTTCTAAGAAATCACATTTTAAATACACAAAGAATTTCTTACAGAATTGGAAAAATATTTTAAGATTGCTGTAAATGTTGCTTCTAACCAGCGTGGTCTATTTTTGTTTTCTTTTTCTTTAACCTCTCATACCAGTTCTTAACTGAGCCTTCCCTACTGTTTGTTATCCAAAAACCTGGAGAGCACTTTGGATTCTGCCCTTTCCCTTGTTCTTCTCATGTCCCAACCTAAAAAGTAAATCCTGGCAGCTCTACCCCCAACATAATGAGGATTTATTTATTTTCCTCCATCTCAACTGTCACGAAATCCAAATTGCTCTTATCCTTTGCCTGGGCATTGTAATCATCAGTTAAACTATATATTCCTCATCTCCTAAAAAGCAGCTACAGAGACACTATAGTAATGTTTTTTAAAATGTGAATCAGATTGTGGTGGTGCATGCCTGTAATCCCAGCACTCTGGGAAACTGAGGTAGGAAGATCACACTCCAGCTCAGCCCGTTACCCCCATGATACCTGTTATCTCCCCAGAAAAGCCCATCCTATCCTAACCTTCCTACAAAGTATGCACACACATGCCCAAATTATTCTGTATCATAATACAATTTTATTTCCTTCATGGTACTTATCACAATCTGTAATTGCTTCTTTCCACTTATCTTTAATATTCAATAAATGATGACATCCTTCCCAGTGAGAATATAAGCCCCATGAGGAAAGCATCCGGTTGTCTTCTCCACCACTGTACCTCTGAATTCCTAGACTGATGCCTGGCAAACAGGACCCAGCATATCTTGAACACATGGTACTCAGGTTATTGAAGACTGCTGAGAAGGGTGCATCGAGTAGTTTACAGCCTGCTTGCCCTCAGCCCAGGTCAACCTTGAGTCACCGCAGTAGTGAGAGTAGCTGTATAAAAGAAAATAAAAATGCTGATAACATTTCTAATTTAGTAATAATTAAAAGGAAAATAAACTAAAAGAAACCGTGGCGAATATTGTGGTGATATGGTCTGGCTTAGAAACTCAGCCATGATGCTTATTCATGAAAGTTTCCTAGGTTTGTCTTCCTTACCAGGTCAGACACCCTGTGAAATTTGCTAATGTCAGATATTTGTTCTCATTTAGTTAATTTTATCATTGTTAATTATTAAATATTTTTATTGGAATAATATTCTTTATCCGTCCATAAGATAATTGGAGAGAAGAAGTATAAAATGAAAAAATGTAATAAAGAACGTTGAATTGTGTAAATACTGTTTACCAGGAGAAACCTGAAACATCCTAAACAAGCCAAATTTTATGCTATTTCTTGAAACTTTTTCTGATTTATACTATTGTCTTCAGCATCTCATTTAATCCCAGCTTTGTTTCTATTTTCTATAAAGTGTCATTCTAAGGTTTCATCACATTTAAATTACATCTCTCCTCGCTCTCCCAATACAGATTATTATGCCCTTTTTGGCACTATCTGCCGTGGATGTGAATTCCCCATAGAAGCTGGAGACATGTTTCTGGAAGCTCTAGGCTACACCTGGCATGACACGTGCTTTGTGTGCTCAGTAAGTAAACTCTGAAATTCCCTAGCTAAAGTAGTGCAGTATGGCCAGTTCTAACCTAAATACTGAATGAAAATAACAGCAGTAGAGTCTTAGGGCCTTCAATCCAAAAGAGAAAAAAATAATTTAAAAGTTGTTTATAAAAGTGTTGGCACCTTTTGAAATCATGTGGCACATAATAAAATCTTTACCCCTAAGAGAAAATAGCATTTTTAATACATTTTTCTCTATAAAGAGAAGTTATATATTTCTTAGAATAGTAAGAGTCTCTTTTTTTTTTCTCTCAAACTCCATTGGATATATTTTAGTAGTTTTTGAAAACATTAGATACATCTTAAAATACAAATAAACAGTTGTAAAACACGATTATTGAACTAACACTAGAAATAAATTATATGTTGATTTATTTCCATATCAGTAGCCTATGGGTATTCTTTTCTTTTGTGAGACTATAATAAACATGTAATAAAATACCTATTTTAATTTGATATTTTAATATTTTGGGTTTTGTTTGTTTTTTGGTACCGGGGATCGAACTTGGGTCCTTGTCCTTGTGCAGCAGGCGGCGAAACCACTGAGCTAAATCCCTGGCTATTTTGCAGTTTTTTAATATCCAGTAAAGATGCTCTGTGGAAATACTTCATTTTTCATTTAGATTTAATATATCTAACGGTGTTCAATGCCCATTGTATGAAGGGGGAAAAGTAATGTTAATTAAAGTTAAATGATTTCTCTAAACAATACCTTTAAACCCTGTCCTGTTTACCTCATCTGTCTTCTAAACTTCATAAAAATCTATAAAAAGCAATGACTTTTAGCAAATCTGCTAAAATTTGTAGAGCTCCTCATGAGCATTGATGACAAAGGAAGTAGGAAAAATAAAGTGTAAGTGTGGATAATCGAGGACATGTCCCCACAGCCCGACACTGACCAGGTTTTTCATTGTAAGAAACAAGTGAATTAAAGAAATTCATTAATATTTTTTATGAATTAATAATTTCATTAAAGAAATTAAACAAATGAATTAAAAATAAATCTCAAGTATTCTGTGCTTGCCTGTTTGGGAGCAGGCTAAAATGGGGCTGAGAATGTTTGTCAAAGCAATTGTTTCCCTTTTGAATGCCTTAGTTTTCTACAATAGGAAACAGATTTAAAGCACTGATTAGAATTTGGAGAGAGAAAGTACATTTAATGTGAATTCTTTATGTATTATTTTTTTCATTGTATTCCCTCCCAATAAAAAAAAGTAATTGATTAATCTGTGATTTAAATAAATTAGAATACATTCCAGAAAAAAAGTTGTTCTTCATTGCTTTTAAAAGATATAATCTTGAAATGTCAAGGTATAAACACAACCATCTAGAGTGCTTTTGTCATAGTATCCATTGAGGGGAAAAAGTCACTTCCCCCTTTGCTAGTATACTTGATTCAAATAATAACGTTCTCTTAACACTTCTTTTTCAGGTATGTTGTGAAAGTTTGGAAGGACAGACATTCTTCTCCAAGAAAGACAAACCACTGTGCAAGAAGCATGCTCATTCTGTGAATTTTTGAAAGTCAACAGTTAGGGAAAGAGAATAAATTTGAAGAAAAAAAGAGGAAAATTTAAATTACCAATTAATTTTTAGATATAATATTTATATAGAGTTTTGAAAATAATACTGGCCCTGAAGGAATAAATTCCAACATTAAAAACCAAGTCTAGGGCCTGGGATTTAGCTCAGTGGTTCCGCTGCCTGCCCCGCAAGAGCAAGGATGGGAGTTCAATCCCCGGTACCAAAAACAAACAAACAAAAAACCAAGTCTGTGATGAAATATTTGGCTTTGTAAAGGAAAGAGACAGTTTGGCATTTTTTATTACTTTTTCCTATATTTTCTGCCTATAAAATAACCTTTATAAAAATCATTTTCCTGGTTGACTATTAAATTCATCATAGAATAAATTAGCAAAGAATTAAATTTTAGGAAAAATATCCCAGCCTCTATGCTGAAGTAATTACATTTTCTTTCCTTGTTAGGAGTAAATCTGCAAAGGGCAATGAAAATGCCTTAAACTTTATAAATAAGAGAATCATTGTTTTTTTAAAAAAGCTGGTTATCTTTAAAATAGCAAGTAGGAGTTTAAACAGAATTTTATCAGTAGGAAGTGTCAGATTTTAAACAAATGGGTATACTTTTTTTCTTTTTTTGTATTATCGTTGATCATTTCAGTAAGAAATGCCAGGGAGATTTTTGGTCAGAACGTGTCATGTCTGGAAGAGATGTTACACTCTCCTTCATCTTACCCCCTCTCGGTAGTTGCTGTATAGTTTATCAATCCCAAATGTTTGCCTTTATTAAAATGGGACTACTTTAATCATGGTGTAGGCTTTATCACCTGTATTAGTCAAACTTCAGTTTTTCCCTTTCCCCATAGTGAAACAGAGCTAATGAAATATTTTGGACTCTTAACAGTTTTCTCTTTTTAAAATGAATAAATAAAAAAGAACATGGTTATAAATTATGGTAAATGAGAGGATTGTACCTTAAAAGTACAAACAAAAAATACATTTCCTCCTTTCCAGATTATAAATCAGATCATTTTTAGATTTGGACCACTGACCAAAGATCAGAGAGCTTATTCTGCAGAATCTTTTTTTCCCTCATTCTACATTAGAATTGGCTGAGAGTTTATGATTAAATCTAGACTTTTTTTTGGTAGTTCTCTCAATGATGAGTGAACCACTTCCAAATTTGATCATGAAGTCTGGAAACCTTTTATTCACAGAGGTTTGGTCATATAGGACGGAAATGTGATTGATTACTCAGACTGGCCTCTAATTTGTTTTCCTCTTTTGTGCAAAGAATTGTATAAATACCACATGGACATAGAAACAGCTCTACTAAAACTGTGGGTACTGTTGATATTTGCCCAGTTAGAGAACAGGTTGTGTACAGCATTTGGTAGTTTTCCTCTTTGTTTTCTAGAATGGATGAAAGCCTATGATCCCACTGAGTTATAGTTAAATCTTGTTTGGGGCAAGGTGTTTTTAAAGTCAAGACAGAGTCCCCAAGTCAGTCCTTCCTGCCCCATCGCTCACCAAGAACTTTACTTCCATTGTGTGCATGTTTGCTATAGAGGAGGCTTTAGGCTACAATATTTGTTTAACCTCCCTGAGAACTTACAAGACATCTGTCCTGAAAGCTGTTAATTTAGGGTCTAACAGGTTTATTTTATATGCAGATAATAATTAACTGGGGATAAAGGAATAGGAAGGGGTGACACAAAGTAGCAAACTGAATGCTTCTCCAGTAGCAACCCTGAGTACCTCCTCACCCTGCATTATGTGGGGAGGCAGGAAATTTCTTTTAAAATAAAGTGCTGGAACTGAATTGTGCATTAAATCTCACTGCTGCTGAAACCACCTATAGATGACTTGCTGGCTTATGTGCATCTTTACATACTTTAATGTCAGTCTTTTACTTTATACAATACAAAATATTGGTGGTTTTGTTTTGATATGATAGCTTTTTGTTGTTTAGTTGTGCCATGATAATATTTGATAAGTTAATGGCATTTGACTATTTTCTTGCAAGAATTTTATTTGATCTGATTTCTGTAAAGTAATCTTTCTATAAGGATATCATTTTTATTAGACCTTTTATCCTACATGTTATTCATGGAGCATTTCTACACATTTTAATCCCTAAAAGGGTTGCTTCCTAATTTATCACTTTTCTTTGTGCTTTGTCCATTTCTTCTGGGGCAAGGCTTTATATCTGTTCCTAACACAGTTAATCCTGTGAAATAAATATCGACCTTATTCCAGAAGAGTCTCTGTATTTACCAGTAGGGAGTGCCATATTTAATTCACCAGCATTAATCTTTTAATAACTGGCAGAGCACTTTATTCTTCTGGTGGGCTTCCTGAGTATTTATTTTTCTGATAATAAATATCCTGTCAGTAGCATTTTTATTATTTTTCACTGTAGAGCACTGAGTTTTAGTCTCTCTGGATGTATATTTTGGGATGCTGTACTTGGTAAGACAGAGATAAACACTACAGTACATGAATAAAATCTCCCCTACTTGGATTTATCATTTCAGAAACTTTAGTGATGGCTTCAGATGTGCATTATTTCTGTGGTCTAGACTTACGTGTTGCCCACTGAGGTAGCAAATTAAAAATTATCCCTTCTGCTCATTTATAGTAACATACATGTTTTCTGTTGATTAATTGATTAGAGTTTAAAACTGAAACCTAATCATTTGGTTACATAAAACATAGAAATAACAGTTAAAATCTTCAAAATGTTAGTATAGCCTTATGTTTAAAATTATCCACAATAAAAATGTGCAGTTTTCAAGGAATACTGTATTAGCATTTTATAGAAAATAATTCCTTTCTTTCCTCCTATTCAAGTGCGAATCCAGCCCTTGAATTTTTGCGGCATTTGGCATTAATTATCCAGAAACACACGGAAGGGTTTCACGCTATTCTAACCTGGCTTCGGTTTGTCCTCCTCGTCCCCAGTGTTTGAATTGGATTCTTAATGTATAATTTGCTTCATCTGTTAATCTGTCTTCTGTTTAAGTTTTAAGTTTGTATATGTCTGCTCTTTTGCTTTTGGTTATCTTTTCTAATGAAAAATCACATGAGAAATATAATCAGTAGAATGATACTTTAATGTGCACATATTCAATAAATAAATGACTGCAGTGGTGTAGATAAGCTCTCCTGTTTTTCTTTTGGGGCAGAAAGTAGTTTCCATTAAATTGTGGGGGGGGTGTCATATTCACAGGATAGGATAAGATGTAATAATTCCTTGAAGAATCTATTGGCCCATCAGAATTCCCAGAAACAGAACATTTGAAAATAGTATTACATTTATTCTGCTTTTATACATTGTTCTTCTCTGTGAATAGAATGTACTCAGTGTTTGTGAATTAATAGATACATTCTGTCTTTTAAAAAGTGTTGCTGAAATTATTATTGGAATAGCTTGTCATATCAAACATTGTACTATCTCATAGATCATAAACAACATAAATTATCATCTACATTTTCACATTTTGCATTAGCCAGGGTACATTACTTCATGCGTAACTCATCCCAGTCTCATTAGCTGACTCTTCATAACTAGGTAGGCACACTCTTGTTTGTTTATTGACTCGAGTAAGATTTTTTTCCAGCTGGTAAGAAGAATGTTTCTGTTGCAGGCGGTATATTGGGAATAAGAGAGAAATTCAAGTCTATTTGCTCACAGTATATTAAACTCCAGAAGCCAGCCTTTTAAGGGCATCAAGTCTGCATCTGACATTTTAATAGATGCTGTTTGGTTTCTATCAATCACGTCATTGCACATTAAAATGCACCGACAAAATAAGAGATCTGTCATTCCTTCGTTAAGAAACAGTAATCCGGTACAAGATTTATAGGCTTAAGTCTCAACTGTGCGCTCACAATAAATTCAGTACTCAAACCAGAGCAGGCCTCCCTGTCGTTCAGTGTTTTCTGGTCAAAATATCCCCAATATAAGATTATCAAAGGCTTTCTTACAGAACGACATATAAAATCCTTTTGCCAGCAAAAGCTTAATTTAGGTTGGAGGTTTCCTTTTTTGAGTACTCTAAGACAAAATCTTGGTTATATCAGAAACACATAGGTACTGATGTATTATTAGCAGGCCTGGTGTTAATTAGGGAGAATTACCAGAAATAGTTTGCCTCGCGGAAGTTTATTACAGAATCACACTTGACTGATGGCAGAATAGGAGTTGCTGAGCGAGAGCAGCTCCCACTCATAACCACTAATTAATAGGGTGCCAAAATTCCACGGAGAAGGTTTCATCCCAAGTGTGGGAGCCTCATTGGGAAAATGGTTCCTGTGCAGTATTTAAAATTTAACAGAGGAAAGGGGCTGGACACATGGCTACCTAACAAATCTCAGGCCGATCATGTTTTAGGCTACTTGAGGGAGAAGATTTAATTCAGCACCAAGCCCAAAAGCCTATATGTTTGTCACACTAAGGAGCTATGCATACTGTTTTTAATGTGGCATGTGTCTGGTTCTCAAACTTCACATTATAAAAAGAATTTAGAATAAACCATTTGGTTTATGGGACATGACTTGGTCCCATGATTTATAAGCTACTGTGAGTAGATAGCAAGATTCCCTGAATTAATGAATTAGAAGGGTGTGCCTTCTGCTTCTTGGACATGGAGCTGGAGAAAACCAAGGTGTTTGCTAATTGGCCCAAATGCCTGAGCAATGGAAGAAATCTGCCGAATGAAATCTTGCTGAGAAAGCAATTTTTCCCTGTCTGTAACTACATGTAATCATACACAATAAAGCTGGAGCGATTGTTTAGGACATTAGAACATTTCCATGTCAGAAAACCACTGAACACTGACCTCAGGGAGAAAAAACAATTTAAAATTCAGGGAGTATAATTTTTCAATATCTCAATTATGGCAAATATAGTTCCCGAGGAAAACCAGTTCTGTGCCAGTCCATGAGTTGATTGACACTGTCTGTTGCGCATCCATGTTTCAAAGGACAAAGTTTCTGTATTTCTGTCCAAGCTTTCCTAATTGGTTTCAAAATTAGTTTTTTATATTCTAAACTATCACATTTGCTCCCTAGTGCAAATCTAACTTTTTTCTTTTTCCTTTTTTGTTCTGCTTGTAAAGCTCACACAGCTGGTGCTATTTGAACTTTAAAATCTCGTGGATTCTTTAACTCATTTTAGTAGATTGTAATTATCTCCAGGTGTATCTTTTTCTCTCTTTTTTGACCCTGGTCTAACACTACTGGACCCACTTCTCCTCTTGGTAGGTGTAAAAGTAAGTGGACTCCAGTAACATCATACCAATGTTAGCTTTTGCATAAATAAAAGTCTGCTTAGGTGTAACCCTATGTTGATGTCATCTGACCCTGAAGCTTTCTCTGTCCCTGATGCTTGAGAAACCTGGCATTATTTAGGTCTCTCTGAATAAAACAGCAGAAGAATCCATGGAGCTTGTCAAGTATGAACTTTGAGTTAAACTTTGTCAAGTATGAAATGTGAGTTAAACTTTGACTTCACCTAAAACTTAACATTCATTGTGCTCGACTAAATTAATATGCTGCATAGTTTTTCTGGTACCATTATGAACACTGACTAAAAATGAATTAACAAGTAAGCTGAGTGGCACTGAAGAGAACTCAATACTGTACTTCTGCCCTGAGAAAAGATATAAATCCTTGTGAATCTGTTAATAGTTCATGCCTACATAGAAAGGTTTGAAGTGCTCTTTAGCAATGTGAACAGATTATAATAGATGATATAAATTAGGAATAGAAAAATATGGTTTATTTTATCAGTCTTGGTCCATTCAGGACAGAAATCACACAGGGACTTAGGAAAATTTCTGTATAAAGATTTCTTAACCAGTCAGAAGATAGCAAAGTTAATGATGAAAATGAAAGAGAACTCCAAAGGGTAAGCAAAAGCTGACAGGACCCATGAAAGACAAGCTTAGGCAGAAAGCCCTCCATGGCTTAGGCTCCGAGCTGCGAGAGAAGGTGGTTTCAGCTTGAGTGGGCAGAGGCATACTCAGGGTGGCCCAGGGCAGAGCTACCTGCAGCTGCCAAGCACAAGGAAACAGTTCTCTGGGTGGGTGGCACACAAAAGGAGTTGGGTGTTGCTTGGCACAGGCCTGGAATACATAGTGTCTGTGGCCCATAGCAAGGGCCGCAGCAAGGTGGTGGCCACAGCAAGGTGGTGGCCACACCCAGGTGGGGGACATGGCATCTCTGAGGGATGAGCGCTTCCGATAAGCACGTGGGGAAGGCAATGGCACTTGTCTCAACACGTGCATGATGGACCACACCGAAAAGCAGACAATGGCAACCCAAAACGTTCCTTCTGCAAAGTTTAACAACCATAATCACAAGCAAGGAGAACCACCTAAAGTCTGGTCTCATACCACAGAGAGGTACTGAGGGGGAAGGGGCAGGTTGGAAATGAAAAGCAGTAAGAAATGGACACCCTTGGATACAACATAAAAACTTCAACCGAATTGAAATCTCCATTATGAAGAATATTTCCTAGTGAATTAGTCAAACAAATGCTGTGTTCTTTACTGTCAAAAATCCTTTGATAAATTAATGTCTTTTAATATATAATGTTAACAGTAACTATGTTTTTCAAGGTTTGCCCTTTAAATGTCCAGTATAACTGAATAGCTCTGAAGATTTAAAGAGATTTAGTTTGATCTGTACAGGGATATACCTAAAGGAACTTTTTTAAAGGAATTTATTTTCTTCTACTATAATGCTTTTCCTACAGTTGAATAAAACATTCTTAATTGAAGGCTTATGTTAGTTAATTGGGATTTCAGTATATAGCAGTTATTGTGTATAAACCTCAACCCTATAGGAAAATTAATCAATTATTTTCATATTCAGTAGTAGAAAGCAAGGAGATAAACAATATCTTCTTTGCAGAAAATAGGAAAGGATCAAGCCCACTGGATCTTTGATAATAACTTGCATTTATTGGATAGCCTTTGTAATTTATGTGGTATTATCTGTTACCCTAGGGTACACCAGTACACTGGTAAAATTCTAATGATTGGAGAGAAGCTGATAATGAAGTATCTTTAATCCACATTTTAGAGGTGAGAAGATAAAAACTATTTTCTTAAAACATCTGGCTATTACCTGGCAAATTTTAGACTTGAAACTTTCTAATGGACTAGGGGAAAATGTATTTTATCCACATTCCCTTTGAGTCCCTCTAGTGGTCGGGGCCAACTCCCATATACAGTATTCAGCTAGCAAAGGACAGTGTTAGGAATTACTTCCTTTTGATAGAATATGGAAAACTGCAAAGCTGCTGCTATCTGACTTGTGCAGTTGCCTGCCACACAGATGTCAGTCTTTGGGGGTTTGCAGTTGGACCATCTGTTCTTCAAGGGTATTTGTAATGTGATGGTCCTCTCTGCAATGTGCCATTTGCTGTTCTTTATGTTTTTACAACACTTCACAGTCCAAGCACTGTGGGAATAGAACAAAAAACCCACAGGACTAATGAAAAAAAATGGTTTGAAGTAGGTAACACCAAATGTCAGGGTTATGACTTCTGTCTAGATGTCCCCCTAAAGCTTCATGCAGTCATGGGGTGCTTTTTCAGAGGTGGTCGAATCTAGAGTGTGTGATGCTGAAATTGATTCATGGTGCAATCCTAGGATTAAGGGTGCTAGGATTAAAGGTGTGTGATTACTAAAGCAGTCCACTGTTTGATTTGGTGCTTCCCTAATCCTGGCAGCCTGGATACAATGTAAGGGACAGAAAGAGGCTTGTCATGTCCCTTGCTTGCTTTACTACCTTCTGCCTACCATGAACTCTTTCTCCTCTGTGATGCCTGTCTGCCGTGCCACCCTGCCTTGAAGCCAGCAAATTATGGACTGAAACCTCTTCAAACTGAGCTAATAAACCTTTCCTCCCTTAACTTGTGTGCGTTGGGTATTTTTATCTCAGCAATGAGAAAAGTAACTAAGACAGTAATTATTAAACTAATTAAAAAACTAGAAAATGCAGTTAAAATCACTTCTACACTCAGAGGCCCATAATGTCTATTTATAAGATGTTGGAAAACATGTCAGAATGGTTGACACCTAGTAATGTTGCCTTTTCAGGATGATGAATTTAGTTCCCAGCCATGAGTCTGAAGAATGAGAG